ATTAAGGCCTTCAACTGAAAACTCCAATAAATGCTATCAAGAGGTTTATAGACTCTGCGGTTCAATGGTAAGCGCTTTTAAGATTAGAACTTCTCTCGTCCAATCGGGTCAGTTCCATTTTGTCTTCTGGCCACCACACTAAATGTTGACTTGGCAGGGTTTTCGCACAATCACAAAACGTATCAGACTCTGTGGCGCAACGGTAGCGCGTCTGACTCCAGATCAGAAGGTTGCGTGTTCAAATCACGTCAGGGTCAATATTTGTGTTCACCAAAGAATGAAGCTCATCATTTCAAGACTAAAATAAGGCCCTCAACTGGAAACTCCAAAAAATGCTATCAAGAGATTTATAGACTCTGCGGTTCAATGGTTAGCAATTTTAAGATCAGAAAATCACGTCAGTTCAATTTTGTCTTCTGGCCCCCCCCCACTAAAGTTTGACTTGGCAGAGTGTTTTGGTCCACCATACCCAAACTGTAACAGACTCTGTGCGCCAAGGGTAGCGCGTCTGGCACTCCAGATCAGACGGCATGCGGTGTTCAAAATCACGTCAGGGTCAACATTTGTGTTTCATCAAAGGATGCGGCTCTCATTTCAAGACTAAATGAAGGCCTTCAAACCTGAAAACCTCCAATAAATGCTATCCAGAGTGTATTATAGGACTCTGCGGTTCAATGGTAGCGCTTTTAAGATTAGAACTTTCTCATCGTCAATCGGGTCAGTTTTCGATTGTGTTCTTCCGAGCAGTCTACGTGGGTCTAATAAACAGACCACTGCCTCATGCACATCAGACTCTGTGGCGCAACGGTAGCGCGTCTGACTCCAGATCAGAAGGTTGCGTGTTCAAATCACGTCAGGGTCAATCTTTCTGTTGCGCCTTTGTTTAATGTCCGTGTAGGTGTAGATTACATAAATTACATTGACTATGCGAGAATATTTAAATTTGACGAATATCACACTTAGAGATCTCGAAAATGTCAAACAATTTATTGTAACTTAACAAAAAGGACTGACTACCAATTTAAATGTCAGTTAAAGAAATACTTTCAAACATTAGTAGTGGCATGGAAAAGTAAACAACAGTTGTTTAACAGGCTTGTTTTGTAGTATTAAAATGTTTAAAGTTTACATTAACAGTATTAATCACCATATACAGAGACTGTTAGATAGAATACGCCAGCATGTGATGCCATAAAGTAAGCATTATCAGGTTCATTTGGTTTTAAGATTGGAATTTAGTTTGACATGTTTGAAAAAAATAATTGTACAGGATGTTTGCTCTTTAGGGCTGAAGAAGGTTATTGATACAGTATGCAAATAAGGTAACAATTGTGAGTCATTGCATTGAACCTGGGACAGACAGACAGACAGACAGACAAAAAGACAGACAAACAATCAGACAGACTGAATGAAAGACAGACAGAGGGACTGAGACCTACGTGTCTTTTCCACCAGCTTCAGGATGACCCCTCCAACGTGGAGGTCAGAGGCCACGCTGAGGGTGACAGGTGGCACGTCAGACCCCAGGTCCTCCACCGTGACTAACAGGTCCCACGCCGCCATACCGGGCGAAAAAGGCCTGGCATATAGACAGAAAGGAGAAGAAACCAGAAAAGTCAAACACTTGTTATCAAAAGCTGGCCAACAAGTGCATTAAAAGCTCAGACAAAACAGGCAAGGAAAATGGAGAACAACTTAATTTACCGGTGAGGTTACTTTATTATGAGTTTTTTTCTCCAACACTTTGATGAAACTGCCAACACCCTTTTTTAAATATACAACATCATGTTAGGCGACAAAGCAATTGTTTTAGGGACCTGTGCATGTCATGAGCAGTGGCGGCGCCAGGGTATGACTGGGGTAGGCTACAGCCATACCAAGAAATGGCTTAGCCCCACCTCAGCCCCACCATGAAAAATGATGTTAAAGTAAGCAAAATAAAGTCCGTCAACTCGAGTAAATTGCACAGACAGCAGTTAGTAAGATTGATTTCAGTAGCCACTTGTCTGGAAATACCGAAGACTAGAAACAGTTTTGAAAACTTTTGTCACGTAGTGATCATCTTCTGAATAAAACATCTTTGATAATGTCTTCTGGCCAATCAGAATCACGATAACGGCGTGGTGTTGTTACAGGAAGTCCCGACGGAGAATACTTTTGCTGTAGTACATCTCACATCGATACAACATTACGTGTTGATTTAATAAGACCCCACGGTTTGATGATTGATAGGTGTGGGCTGTCTTTCATTTTGACACACAGAACAATGGGGGCTATCCACCCTTATCCACAATGTAAAGTAATTCACACAGCCTCTTTCCTCTTCTCTGTGAGGAGCAGCACTGCTGCAGCAGGTTCAGCTTTCAGAACAAAGTAACAAAACAAAAATGGCATTCATTTTTTTTTTAAATGTGTAGTAATATATGTATGTATTTTTCTTCTCAAGAGAGTACCAGAATGTGTATTTTGTGTTAGTATTTCAAAAAATCTCCTGGGGGAGAATCCCCCAGACCCCTCTGCAGGGGTTGGGTTTTCAGCATGTCAACTCTTTCACCTGTGGGGAAATTGCAGGATTGGCTCCAGGTCGCCCTTTTTGTTTACTACAAGACATTGCAAATACTGACTTGAGCCCCACCACTGTATGGGTTAGCCCTACCATAGATTACCCAACAAAAATACTCTGGAGCCGCCACTGGTCATGAGTAAGAAATATGCACTTTAAAGCATTATTTAATTGTTAAAATTCCTGATAAAAAGACATTTAAAAACAAGAACACAACAATATATGCTAAGAAATGCACAAGAATACGATTTTTGTATAGAACTTGATTGATCTGATAATCAAAACCCTGCCTTAAATTTACAAAGTATTTCAGACATAAATGAGACCTAGATGACCTGTCAATCACACAGCCTCTCAACTTAAAAAAAAAAGGTTTTCATCATAGTTCAGTATGATACTGAGTAACACACACACACACACACACACACACACACATACACACACACACACACACACACACACACACACTCAACGAAGGGTGCGTTGATCCTGGCAACATGTCCAGTTTGATGAGCACTTCCTGTTTCTAACTTGAACAATCACCAGTGACACACACTTCCGCTTACTGACCCGCCCAATAGGAGACGTTCATCCAATGCCAATACAGAGACCCACTGCATGTGTATGAAAGTGTAAGCCCATCTTAAATATATTACATTAAAGGATTAAACGGTTCATCTTTGCTCAATGTATAGGTAACTTTAAAGAATTGAATCACAGACAATGACATAACAAAGACTAGATGACATGCCTGCAACCCTCCTTACTTCTTTTGAAGGCCTTGACTTTCTTCATGTTTTTGTATATAAGTTCTGAACCACGACCACTTCCACTTCCCTTTTTCACATTATATTTTGTTGAGCTTGTTACTTAATAAATTACGCAACATTTAAATATTGTATAAACAAGCATAACGTGTACACATGAAGCCTTAATGACCTCTCTGTCCTCATGCTTTTTCCCTTTCTCTCACATCACACACACAAATTGAAAGAAAAATACCGTCAGTCTCCTCTGTCCAAAGTTTTAAGATGTGGAAACTGGTGGGACTCTTGTGCCTCTTTCACACCTCTGAAGAAGTTCACCCAGGTTTTCTGAGAACAATTTTCAGCAGTATCGTTCCCCTCTCGGGCTGGGTAGGTTGTGGTCTGTGTAGCTGAGTCTGCGCTGCTTGTGTCACTTCTGTCAAGAAAGGCTTGTTCCTTTTTTTGTCAGTTTCCGCCAGGCGGAAATGTGAAAAGAGCTCAAGTTTTGACTGACAGACAGGCAGATAGTGAGTGCTGCATAAAAGGCAATGTGTGTGTATGTGTGTGTTTTTGTGTGTGCTCAATATTAGATGCTAAAAAGACAGACAACACATATTATTGCTCTCCTTAGTTTGGCTATTTCTCTTTAGCCTCCATTTTATGGGATGGAAGAACACAGACAATAGATTGATTATTGGTAAAGATTGTGTATGTTGCATATAAGCAATGAGTAGTGTTAACGTGAGTATCAGTTTTTTTAAATGCCTTTTCAGATGCAAAATAAAGAATAAACAGGAAATTGTTTAGCCCATCAAAACAGCAATTAAATAGTTTCCGAAACTGAGAGCAGGCATAACGAGCTAGGCAACTAAGTAATAATAATAATAATAATAATAATACAAATAATAATATTTCCCCAGCAAATGTTGTTTTTTTAATATGCTATACTAGGATTTTTTTTGCAAATTCTCTTTATTTATCAACTATTGTATTGGCTGATATTTTAATTGAGATTTTGAAGAATAGAAGTGAAGGAGGCTTTTAAGCCTTTATAAAAATATGTTTCTTGCAAACACAGTCGAGTATACATTTAAATAAATAAATAATGATAACAATGACATTAAATAATAATGACAACTAAATCTTTAAAATGTAAACTTCGATTATAAACATTTATAATGAAAAAAAGGTAAATGTTATTTTGAAATCCCTGTACAGTTTGTTGTTTAGTTGTTATTTTCCTTTTACGTAGCCTATGTAAAATGTACACAACATACTCTTCCATTTGACCTCTGAATGTTTATAATGGTGAAATAAATGCGTACCAATTCTGGTTGCGCAAATGATATAGAGTTCAATAACTTATATTTGGATAAATACAAATCTATTGAACATATCATTTTGATGTGTACTTCTTTAATCTAGATAGGAGGCGTGGATGTGTGGTCGTTGGCTTCCGCCTCCCCACTTCATCGGAGTCGGGGGTTTACATTCCATGTGAGATTAACATAGAGCTGCACTTGTCACATTGTAGCATACATTTTCACTGGTAATAATATGAACTCTTAAATACCGGCCTAGATATCGTACTTCGTTCAATGACACGATACAAAGCAGTTTTGTGGTTAACGAAAACCTACAAGCACCCCTTATAAATGGTGCATTCCACATGTGGAAGTCCAAAACAAAAATGGCAAATGAGCTCGAACCTAACCAACGTTCAACTGCTAACACCGAAACCGAAACCTAACCCAGGTGTGTCTGACACTGATCCTTGTAAAGCTTCGTAACACGAACCGAGCCCCCTCGGCGTCACTCAGGCATGGCACTTCAAATATCAGCTCTATTTTCATATATGAGAGCCTCACGGTGCACTACTCTGTCCCGTGTCCGTGCTGACTTCCAGGCAGCCGGTGTCAGGTTTAAACACGGTGTAACTCCTGGAAGCCCCCCAGGTCCTGCTCGCGGCCATATTAACGCTGCTCTCCGAGCTGAAAAGTTTTCCACAACACCGACAACAGCAGCAATTTGGAGGTCCAGCCAGGTAAAGGCTTCCTCCTCACCCCGAGGGAAAGGAGGCTGGCTGGGGAAAGTAGCCCTCGGTGCCGTGCTGGGAGTAAGCACATTTGCTCTGGTCCAGTCTCTCCACACCGGAACAGTCAACGCCATGGCCCGCAAACTTAACCTGAACTCCGCTGATGGAGACTGGAAGGAGACCAAGGGTGAGACTCTTCAACCAAGAAAGAGAGGATTTTAATGTAATATTTACAATAGCTACCGTGCAATGTGCTTTGTCAACAAACTAAAGAGACACATGTGTGCTGTCACATGACCAAAACACACCTCCAACTGTCGCTGGCTGATAGATATAGACCTAGTTTAGTTTATTTGCATTATAAAAATACACACAATGAAACCCCCCCAGTGATTAAAGTGCAGGAGAGGAAGTCCTGAATGGCTTTTTCACATTCATCTTCCCCTAATTTAACAAATAAAAAATGGCATTAGGCTTACTCATCAATGACGACAAACAATCAACATTTCAAACAAAAAACACACCAAATAATATGTACAAAACACACAAGTAAGCATACACTGTAAAAGAAAATATAGAATGAAAACAGACCAAACAATATAAACCCTGGAATAAAATATGTAGAACCAACAACATCATCCTATTTTGAATATCAGTTCAAGATAAAATGAAATATTTCTTTAATTGTGTCCTTAAAAAAAACGGAATTATAAGTTATTTGGTAAAATATGATGTAGCTTACCTCAGTTCTCAAATGCCTAAAACAAGCGATCAAGCAGTCAAACAAAAATGTTTAACGAAAAAGAGTACAATTATTTAGGCATAATATTTTGTGTTTTGCTATGTCAAAGTGGAGCTTGTAGCCTACTATAACGTCAATAGGCCTATACTGTTTATGCACAATAAATAAAAGATGAATGAATGAAGAAATCTATACTTCAACAACTGACTTTAGCGCAAAGCCTGTTTTAAAGAACATTTCATTGTGTTAAAATAATATCATAGTACACCACATGCTTCAGGTTTTGCTGTAGGAATCGTTTATTGGGGGTATACATGAGCTTTTTTGTTTTATTCTTCATAAAGCTTTTTTTCAGTCTGGTATTCCTGAAGTACCATGTACTCTGTTTCTTAAAATACATAACAAGAGTATTTTATATCTAGCTCACAGGTTATTTTCTTCCTGTCCTCTCCTTTATTTTTCTCTTTCAGACTGCTTGCTGTCTCTGTCTGTGACGGACAGGCGTGAGCACTACAGGACGTCTGACTTTGTGCCACTGCACGACATCTCAGTGTGGACTCCCACTGCAGGTCAGACACCCGACATCAGTCACAGTCTCTGTCAGGTTCATTCAGGGTTGGGTGGTAGTGCCAGCGAGAATTTAACAGAGGGATGCAGCATGAATAGTAGCATTATCAGATATTTGGCCACATCACACCAAAAGCATTTAAAAATGATTAATAGCAACATATAAACAGATGGAAATGTCTTTTATAGAAAATGTAATATTGTCATATGTAACAAGTCAAGAAAATGAAGCACACACAATGTAAAAGATGAATATACAGACATACTGTAAGATGACATTTCATGTAAATATATCATCACACCTTGGAAGTAGGTGAAGTTTGAAATCCCTGCTTTACTCAAATGTTTTGGAATATATTAGTTGACTCTATTCAGTAAAGATTTTCTAAAATGTTTTACTTTAATGAATAGTGGAATGGCGTTATGGTGTGATCTAAATCCTGCTCAGGAGGATTACAACATTAATTATTAAATTAATGTTGTATACCTTTCATTTTCTTTTTAACTCTGTAGACCCATAAGACATAATGGTCAGACATAATGACAAATAGAATCCTATTCTATAACTTAGCTTAACACTTGAGATATCACTATTGTAAGAATTGTAGTTGTTTTGGTCAACTATAGGATCAATATTTATAGACGTATCATTTCAAGTTTACCAGGTAAATAAAACTGATCCACAAACTGACTGTACTGTATGTTTGTGTCAAATCTTTAGGCGGTTCTGAAAAAACAGTTTACCCGAGGAATAAAAAGTTGGACAACAAGATTTCCCTCTACAGTGGGGACATCACCAAGCTGGAGATAGATGCGATTGTTAATGCAGGTATGTGGTGTGTAAAGGAGTGTGTTTATAGGGTGATCCGTTCGGAGATTAGACATCCAACATGTCTCCATTTATCTATTTTTTTCCCCACACAATTGAATAAAAATGAAAAAAACAAGAGAAAACATGTTTTAATTTACTCTTTTTGCAACAAAAGTAAAAGCAATCAGCAGGCAATAAGCAACAGACACAGGAACAACTACATGAAGAAGAAAGCCAACCAGTCGGGAATATGCAAAGATGATAGAGTAAAGAATAGCTTAGTGCTTAACTAAGCTAAGCCCCAAGTTTGTTTGTGCATCAATGTGGACGTAAGGTATATCATTTCAGCAAAAAATAATTGAGGGCTGTTTGTGCTCATTATTGGTATAATATTTTCTCAGTGTGTGGGACAGCTACAGCTTCTTTACGGTTACCAACAGGTTTTCTACTGTGATGTTTTTTTTTAGGCAATGTTCACACAGTAAACATGAAAACCAGAACAACTGCAACAAACAAACTGCATGTTTGAGTGAGTTTTGCTTGTGTTGTATTAATGGTCACTTCTCACCAGAGTCATTGTTATGTCAACTGTGGATGTAGTATCCTTTAGCCATTTGTATTGTGGACACTACATCTTTTATCGCAACCAAGCAAAACTCAAACATTTTTTTGCATTAACAGAGGACAAGTAATTATAATAATAATAAAAGAACAGCCGTAAAAACTAAGCTGCCTAACAGAAAAAAAGCTGATGCTCAATTCTAGTAAAAACAAAGTGTTAGTCTTACCTCATACATTTTGATTAAAGGACTCAAATGATCTTCACACATTTTGTAGTCTTTGCCCACATAATACACTTCCTCCCAGAAGTTATTGTTTCCAGCACTTACGACAAGGATAAGACTCTTTTTCCGGTCACCATTAGATGGAGCCAAATGCCAGTTCATTCACTGAAGACCTTTTCCCACGGGGCTGTTGGGACATGTGGGGGAAATCTAATCTGTGTCTTGGCACAGACAGTGCGTCGGGGGAGAGTGAAGAAGGCCAGCATGCCTAAATGATGCTTGATAATGATGCTTTAGCAGAAAATGATAGATCTTCACTGGCAGCTGACTGTCAGCAGGTGTGCACTGTGCCAGTGTGCCAGCCTTCAGTGAATATGTTGATCTTTCACTCTCATTTAGGGCATTACTGCAGCTAGTGTTTTGTCGTGTGCTTGCGAGCATTCGTGCATCTGCCTGCAAATGTTAAAGTAATTACGTGTGTGTGTACATACGGTAAGTGATTGTAATTTGTCTCTTGTGTGGCTGTGAGAGGCGACTTTGTGTGGCACTGTGGGTTTTACAAGAGCTTTTTACAGAGTCGCACGATGCAAAGTAGCATGGAATTAACAAGAGGAACTAGTAAAGTGTCATTTAGCAGAGAGGACGAGGCAAGGTGAGGGAGGAAGTCTGAAAAGACACAATGCCGGAGGAAACATGACTAAGAGACAGAGTGGAGAGAGTCCAGCTCACAGACTCACAAAAAGCGAGGGGAGAGTCTGGAAGAGTGAAGAGAAGAAGATAGAAGAGACGTAGTGAAAGGACACGGGCTAGTATTTAAATCTCAGACTGCATTGCCATGGCAACAGGCAGGTACAGGGTACCCACAAAGGGGTTTTGGGCAGCAGAGTTCTATAATCCTTTTTCTGTCCGACTGGCTGGCCAGCTGACTGTCTCTGTAGTCATTTTGTTGACTAAGCGACTGACCTTTTCATTTGATGACTAACTGATTGACTAAGAGGCTTCAATGATGTCAGTCGCACTTAAAGCGATATGACAATAAAGTAGAAGGAGACAAGAGAAGAGACATCGAGAGCCAAGAGAACAATTAGAAAAGAGACAGTTAGTTTTGCTCAATAATACAATTGCTTGCAAGCTTATTCTCCTGTTGCAGATCTAACATCCAAGCATCAGCATTAGAAAAGCAGACAAATCAGCGCCTGTGGTTTTTGACATACGGAGGGGAGTGTAGTGGATTTCTTTCTGGCTGCTATGAGAGGCCTTGAAGAATAATTTAGCCCATAACACAGCAAACATTCAATTGAAGCCAACTGTGGCCAATTATACGCTATACTTGTAGACTGGATGGGAGGGCATCTTCCAGGCCTGACTGGGGATTAGCAATTGACTGCAGGCACAAGAACACACAGATATAGAAGTGGATACATGCAGATACAGACAGACAGAGAAACACTGGAGACCTGGGAATAAACAGGTGGAAACTAAGTAATATGCTGCTTCGCCCTGGCTACGGTTGCATGGTTTAATAAAGATGTCTTGTGTTTTTTCTTCATCACATTTCCTTAACCTCAATGGAAACCGTCTTGTGGTCAAGAAAAGATGTGAAGGAGATTCTATAAGGATTTCAGTTACATTACATTACATTGCATTTAGCTGACGCTTTTATCCAAAGCGACTTACAATAAGTGCATTCGACCAAGAAGATACAAACTTGAAGAAAACAGAATCATATAAGTACATCAGGTTTCATAGAGCCAAAACATTTCAAGAGCTGCTCAACTGGCTTTAGATAAGCCAGTCCTTTGTTAGTATATAAGTGCTTTGTTAGTAATTGTATTGCTCGAAGTGGAGTCAAAAGAGATGAGTTTTCAGTCTGCGCCGGAAGATGTGTAAGCTTTCTGCCGTCCTGATTTCAATGGGGAGCTCATTCCACCATTGTGGAGCCAGGATAGCAAACCGACGTGTTTTTGCTGATGGGAACTTGGGTTCCCCTCGCAGTGTGGGTGCAGTGAGCCGTTTGGCTGATGCAGAGCGGAGTGCACGTGCTGGGGTGTATGGTTTAACCATGTCCTGGATGTAGGAAGGGCCAGATCCATTCGCAGCATGGTACGCAAGTACCATTGTCTTGAAGTGGATTCTAGCAGTTACTGGAAGCCAGTGAAGGGAGCGGAGGAGTGGCGTGGTGTGGGAACATTTTGGAAGGTTGAAGACCAGACGAGCCGCTGCATTCTGGATGAGCTGCAGAGGTCGGATGGCACATGCAGGTAGACCAGCCAGGAGGGAGTTGCAGTAGTCTAGGCGTGAGATGACAAGAGCCTGGACCAGAAGTTGGGTCAGGAGGGGACGTATCCTCCTGATGTTGTAAAGAGTGTATCTGCAGCAGCGGGTTGTAGCAGCAATGTTTGCAGTGAAGGACAGGTTGTTATCTAGGGTCACACCCAGATTCCTTGCAGTCTGAGTCGGGGAAACAACAGAGGGGCCGATGTTGATTGTTAGGTCAAGAGTGGGACAATCTTTTCCCGGAAGGAAAAGCAGTTCAGTCTTGTCAAGGTTGAGCTTGAGGTAGTGAGCCTTCGAGTCTATTGTAATGCACTATTTGAGACAAGTGTCCGACTTAGCCCTAGTTACAGAAGTTTTAAGATTATTCTACTGCAGTATCCCCTTGTAAAGCACTCAGTATTTGTACAATTGTTTAGTTAAAGAGAACCCTTAGAAGCAGATGTTTCAGTTTTTAAGATTTCTGAAAAAATAAGTTACCCAGATTTCTGCCTGAGAAACAGGTTATTTGAGCTGTTCTGAGATTTGAAAAACACAATTTTAGCTAGAATAACTACAGAACAATTATACAGAGTAGAATAAATGGAGCAGAGAGGTCTATGAACAAAAATATAACTTTACAGAGATTACTGAGTCAGCAGGAGAGTCCTTATCTGGTCAAGATAGCACACTGTTCTTCTCATTATAACTGTGACTGGCACGTTTTAAAGTCCACTAAAAGGATCTGCACGTACACGAGGCTAGACAAGTAGCCCACAAGAAATCCTTTCCAATACAGAATCACACCTTCTAAGAAGGATGTTTTCAATTTATCCCTTGTGCTGCGATTTAAAGACAATTAAACAGCAATTGTTTCAATGTTGCCACTGCAAGGAATTGTGGGACGACATTATCTGTTTTCTTCTGGTAAAGGATGGTCCTGTGTATCCTTTGCTTAAGGAGATAAGAAAGGAAGCATTGGAGGAGCTTCCCTTAGCATTTAGAAATGTAACTATCTCTTATCATGGCTTCCACTTAGAGGAACTTTTCTTTTCCAAAAAATACTTTTCGAACGCAGCCCACCTTCCTTCCTTCCTTCCATCCTTTCTTGCTTCCTTACTTCCTTCCCTCCTTCCCTCAGTCAGCACTGATTGATCAGGTGAAGAGGGCGTTGCAGGGAGAATGGGCGGTTGCTGTTTGTCGTTTGTGTCGCTCTCAATAAAGATCGGATATACAGTAACTCTCCACTCCTCCCCCTTCTCCTCCTCTTCTCCTCCCTCCCTCCTTCCTTCCACACTTTTACAGCCGCTGGCTCCTGCCCACTCCTATAAAACACTACAAACATAAAAACCCACAAGCACTTAAGAGCCATCCTGGTGAGGAAGGGGGGGGGGGGGATATTGGGGGGAGGAGACGGCGGGCAGAAACATCCTCCTCTTTACACCCCTCAATCACTCCGTCCGGAGAAGGAGAGAGAGATGGAGGGGAGGATATATTGTCTCTGATGGGCTAGCTGATTAAGATGGATTGCACGATGAAATGTCTTTGGAGTGATGAGTTCTTGGAGTGTGTGTAAGTGTGTGTGTGTGGGCTCCACGTCTCTGCAACTAACTTTGCATTAAAACCTTTTTTCAAATTGATTAAATGCAAATTTGCTTAGCTCTACTGAGCTGCAGTTTCTCTCGCAAAAGTTTTATTCCTCATTTCCATTCCAGTACTTACTCTCAGCTGCCGTCGTCTTTATTGTGTTTGACATTAAATGCCATTTATTTTGGCCTACCTCTTTCCCCGCGTTGAATTGCAATTTAATTAAAAAAGATTTAAAAACTGGACAAGTTCTCTCAGTATCTTTTGTGTAATATCCTTTTTTTACATGAACAAACTCTGTGTGAGAGAGTAATGCAGTGTTAGTCTGCTGATAAATCTTTCAGACTAGACCATAAGAAACTGTCCCTAAAATTAAGCTGTGCAACGTAAAGT